AAAAAAAAAGAAAAGAAAAGAAAAGGCTTCTCCAGGAGCACAAAGCATCTTGGCAGTGTTGTCCAACAGCAACCCCCCTCCCACACCCTAGCCTTTATTTCCTCATTACACAATTAGAGCTATTCTTTTTAAGTCTGAGTGCCTAAGTTCAGGGTTTCTGAAAGTCTTTTGTTAGAGGAGATTCAATACAGAGCTTCCAAAGAGAACAAACAGGGCTGATCTCCTGCTCCTGCTGAGATGACCTATGCTCAACCAAACACAGCCCTGCCTCTCAGAGAGCCTCTTGCTCCTCACAGGACAGTAGATTTCTGAGCTGGCATTCGTGTACTCCTTGGCAATCACTACCCAGGAGCTCCAGGGGAGAAGAGCATCCCAGTGGCACCGTGCATTTTATTTACAGCAGCTACTAAACCCTTCAAGAGACCAGCCCAACTAAACTCATTATATGTCACCTGTCACTCACCACAGAAACTAGCATCCCTGCTAGCACCTGCTCCTGCCACCCCTGCATGCCTTCCATCATCAACTGAACCCACAGCACTCCCTATAACCCGATTTTCAGTTTCTCATTTTGTTCCATCCTCTCTCTAATCCTTCCACCTTGACACCCATAGAATACACGGCCTTTCATCTTCTATCTCTCGGAAATTTTCCTTCATATTTTTTGCCAATGGAAGCTGATTCTAGTCATTTCCATCTTTCCTTCTCCATTGATCTTTAAAAATCTCCAACTCTTGGGGCGCCTGGGTGGCGCAGTCGGTTGAGCGTCCGACTTCAGCCAGGTCACGATCTCGCGGTCCGTGAGTTCGAGCCCCGCGTCGGGCTCTGGGCTGACGGCTCAGAGCCTGGAGCCTGTTTCCGATTCTGTGTCTCCCTCTCTCTCTGCCCCTCCCCCGTTCATGCTCTGTCTCTCTCTGTCCCAAAAAGAAATAAACGTTGAAAAAAAAAAATTAAAAAAAAAAAAATCTCCAACTCTTCTGTCATCAACTTGACCATCAGCTATCCACCTGGTAGCAGCCAGCTACCAACATCTCACTAGTTAACAACTTTAGAATGTCCCTCCTTGTAATATCTTCTCTTCCTACTCCTGGCACCACTTGGGTGGCTTTGGTATTCACATGGTTATTCCATGCAAGGCACTGCGCTCTGAATCACTGTACCTCCTTACCTTCAGTGGCCTTTTCCTCCATTTCAAATCAAACACTAGCTCTTTCTGTTCATCCCTTGATGCTATTATTATTAGTACTTACGCACTCTCATCATTAAATATCTTACTTTCTGGACACTCCTCCTAATCTTCCAGTTAAATGGCTTCAGGTCTCATCTTACTCAAATTCCTCAAACGCAATTGAGACTGCCAGTCCACTTTCCTTCTCACTCTTTCATTATCTACCATTCCCTTCATGACCTCACTTCCATCCCAAACCAACTTAGATTCTATACTCCACTATTACAAGAAATCCTCCCTTGAAAACATCCTTGACTCCCTGTTCCTCTCTTTTTTTCTTGTTCTCTCCTGGGAAAGCCCCAACTCTAATCAAAAGCAAATATTTTGTCACACTTTTTCTGCACTAACACGGCTGGAGAAACAATGCCAACTGTGTTGAGCAATCCCCTTTTAAAGACATAACTAAATGGGTGTTACATGTTGCCTAGAATCAATTTAATGGAATATTTCATTTTTTTCAACTTTATTTTCTTGAAATACTTTAGAGCATTTCAACTTTTATTTTAAAATACTTAATATAAGGAAATATTTCATATATGCAAAAGGCAAAGGTTTTTCCATCTTCAGATATTTCACTTAAAAATGTGAGATTTGTGTTAGGTTTCAATTATATGATTATAAATGTAACCAAAAATATTTTGGGATTATTATTAAATGGCTTTATTTCATACTAACATGAACTTTAAGTATAACAACATTAAGCATAGAATTTGAAAGTACATGAATTTCATGTAATAAATAACCTTTTTTATTGTAGGGATGAATATCAAGTAATAAATTATTTAATAGTAAACAAATAATTACCAAAGAAATACTGACTGATAAGAAAGCACAATTCTGTTGCTGCTTATGACCAAATCAAATGATTTCATCTTATTTAGAGTTTAAGAAAATAAGAGAAGAAAATCCGGAAAAACTTTCAGTGACACTGGTTTATTACTAAGTTGAATACCATTAACATTATTTTAAAAACATTAATGCTTAGGGGTGCCTGGGTGGCTCAGTCAGTTAAGCGTCTGACTTCAGCTCAGGTCATGATCTCAGTTTTGTGAATTTGAACCCCATGTCGGGCCCCACATCAGGCTCTGTGGTGGTGACAACTCAGAGGCTGGAGCCTGCTTCACATTCTGTGTCTCACTTTCTCTGCCCCTCCACCGCTCACACTCTGTCTCTCAAAAATAAACAAACATTAAAAATTTTTTTAAAAACATTAATGCTTATAACTTTTTGCATCAAAAACTGTTTAGATGTCTTAAAAGACTTAAAATAAAAATTTTGTATTCTTTCTCACTTTATGGTTTAATTTTATTTGATATTTTCAAGGGTACCAAAAATTTTTTTAAAAGCATAAAATGGAACTTATGTTTTAACTGTATAAAATGACAATCACACTCTAAAAATAATCCATTATTAAATTTATAATCTCATATAATTTATTACAATTTAAATAATTTTCAACAATTTACAGTAGTTGTTAATCTAGAAGTTGACTCAATCTCTTTAGTAAGAGTCAAGAAGCATAAGTAAATAAAAGCATGAAAGAAATTTAAGAAAAACTATCTATTTGTTGGGAGAGTAAAATAAAACAATAGGAGACCGTTTCAGTGCCTGGGTGGCTCAGATGGTTGAGCATCTGACTTCAACTGAAGTCATGATCTCATATGAGTTTGAGCCCTGTGTCGGGTTCTATGCTGACAGCTCAGAGCCTGGAGACTGCTCCGAATTCAGTGCCTTTGTCTCTTTCTCTCTCTTTGCCCCTTCCCTGCTCATGTTCTGTCTCGCCCTTTCTCAAAAACAAACATTTGAAAAAAAGTTTTTTTTAAATAGGAGACAGTGTCACTTGTGACACTGAGAGAAAATGTGCTCAAGTATTGCATAAGTCAACTAGAGGATAATGAAATCTTTCTCAGCAGCAACAAGAAAGGACCCCATCCTGGAGAGTAAAGAATGATCAAAGTGTCTGCCATGATACTGAAAGAGTCTCTGTAAGTAATAAAAGCAAAACCAAACCGAACTGGGAACAAATCCTCATCTTGTAAAAATGCCTCGTACTATGGTAAGTATTGGAAGAGGTACAATCTGGCCCTTTTTCTCTTTCCTTTATTCCCATCCTGGAAGGTGGGGGAGGGTGTCATATAATTGAATCTGTATCAGTACTGATAAGATTTCCAACCCTCTTACTGACAAGAAATAGGTAGGCAGGGGCCCAGACCCACGATACAAAACAGATGAACATAGGGGAAGGGAAGCAAAAATAATATAAAAATAAGGGAGGGGGACAAAAAATAAGAGACTCTTAAACACAGAGAACAAACTAAAGGTTGCTGGAGAGTTTTGGGTGGGGGTGGATGGCCAAATGGGCAAGGGACATTGAGGAAGACATTGGTTGGGAGGAGCAGTGGGTGTTATACATAGGAGATGAATCACTGGATTCTAGTCCTGAAATCATTATTGCACTATATGCTAAGTAACTTGGATGTTGAAAGAAAGAAAGAAAGAAAGAAAGAAAGAAAGAAAGAAAGAAAGAAAGAAAGAAAGAAAGAAAGAAAGAAAGAAAGAAAGAAATATGGAGGGACACTACACATTCTTTTGGAATTAATGTTAAAGGAAATCTTATTAATATGATAAAGCCTATAATTCTTTCATTTTGATGCAGATCATAGATGTGCAGTTTTGCTCTCTAAGACTTCTGATCGATTTCTTGGGTGTTCAGAAAAATTTGATATTTATCTAGCTGTGCTTGAGGGAGGAGTCAAGGTTAGGGTCTCCCTACTCCACCGCCATCTTAACCCTCCTCTGCCGCCATCTTAACCCTCCTCTCAAAAGCATCTCTTATTGTGACTTACATCGAAGAGTCTTAAATCGGTTTTTGTTATAAAATTCATTTGTTTGATTCTTTAAAGTTGTATTATCTTCTAGAAGGAAACTAGAATTTTACGACATTCATGACAAACCAGGATTACACGGCCTCATATAAGAATTATAAATATTGCTCATCTAGAAGAACTTGGAGGTCCTGCCTGGTGAGTGGGTTTTCTAGGTAGGTAGACTTCACAACTCTAGCTCATCATACCTTCTTTACATGAGGAGGGGCACGATGTCCAGTCACTATATGGTGTCACAATACAGTCCTTCCTACAAGGAAGCAGACAGGGTCTCACTGTTTCAGGTCGAAGGCTTTCAGGACACCTAGAAAACGCAGAGGGAAATTACTAGGCCTCTTTAGTAACCCAGAAAACTACATAATTTGATGTTTTTAAGTCTTTCATTGCTAAAATTGCTAAAGAGTCACTAATCTATATTATTTAAATTCCAGGAGCCAGTCTGCTTTTGATAAGAACTATATAACTAGATTATTTCTTCCAAACTAGACCTCAAAAAGTTCTCAAGGCAGGATATATAAATTTAATAATAGTAATCGTACTATTAGAACAAAATATAATTTACCTTATCCCCTTATAATAATCTTTCTATTAAAAAATATTTTCTAACGTGCTATATAAGAAATTTATGGGAATTCAAATTACCAATTTAAGAACTAATTCTACATCTTTGTATAGGTAAATAAGCTTATTGCTGATTATGTTTCCAGGTTATTCTATGTTTTATTTTCACAAAATATGTGTAGCATAAATTTATAATGGAGTATATTCAATACATAGTGCATTTTCAAAAATGATACTATATTTACAGCTATATATTTCATAATAATAACAAAATAATAAAAGTGTACAGATCATTAGGATAGGCAGTTTTTTCCTTTAGTCCTGGTTTCATTTAGTATCTCTATTCTAAAGAATTATGGAATTTTAAATATTTTTATAAGTTACAATATGTTTTGGACCAAAAGAGTAAATATAAATAAATCAAAGATAGCCGATCAATTTAAAGAAAAATAAAACACCTTTCTTGACAAATTATAGTAAAATTAATCATCTTAAAAAATACAGTAAAAATATTTATTAGGGACATGAGAAATATGATGATCCAATATACTAAAATGTCTTTTTTTTTTTTGAAATGTCTTACTTTATATAAGCTTTTGCACTTTTTATAAGATAACTTTAGGAAGGTGATGTAAGAGTTTTAAGTATACTTTTATGTATACTTAAATGATTTTTCAATTTCCCAATTCTTCTCTGTATCTTCAAGATCTGATTCTACTATTGGTGGTCAAATGTTGATCACTAGCATTAACACTAGAAGAAGAGGTAAATTAAGGACAACGCAACATAATAGCATAAATTGTATGACTAAAAGTAACTTCCTGTTCTGATTCCTAAGAAGTTATCTTTTGATGTCATATAAATCTTTGACAAAGAAGCTAAGAGGCAGAGAAGAAATAAACTGAACAACTAGTATTACTGTTGCTGGAATAACTTGGCAAATTAGTGAAAAATGGGATTTAAAAATACTCCCTATGGGAGAAGCCAAATTTTCTGTAGGTCAGGATAAATTATCTTTTAACAAGTAAGTTAATCAGGATTTCAGAACTGAAGTATGAGTGAAAAAATACCAACATCATTAATCTCCTTCCCATAATTTCTTTATTGCACTTTGCTGACAGTTCACTTTTTATATCACTGTATTATAATAATTTATCTACATATCCCATCTCATACATAAATATTATGTTCTATTCGATTATACAGATACATGCTTTCCCCTTTCACTCTGTAACACTAGGGTTTATTTGGAAGTGGATTTAAAAATTATATATGACTCCACATTTCAAAAAAAATAATCTCCTTGTTGAGGATAACCTTGAATTTTCATTTTAAAAAAATGTCTATTTATTTATTTATTTTTGAGACAGAGAGACAGAGAGAGCATAAGCAAGGAGATGCAGAGAGAGAGGGAGACAGAGAATCCAGTACAGAGCCTGATGTGGGACTTGAACTTGTGAGTCATGAGATCATGACCTGAGCAAAATCAAGAGTTAGATGCTTAACTGACTGAGCCACCCAGAAGCCCCAACCTTGGATTTTCCTAATTGCTATGACTACTCAAAGTCATGGACAACAAAGAAGTTTAGATGGGAGTCATAGAAGTTAATGAATTGTTACAATTGAGATTATAAATCACTAGAATTTTAATTTAACCTGCATTCTTAGGAAACAGTATATGGCAAAACCCCACCTATGATACTGTTAATTCTTTTGAAATTATGCAATTATTGATTAGTATCTTTGGGAGCACTCCTTTGCAATGAAGCAATTTTACAACTCTAATAGTAAGAGAACAGGGATGTCTGGATGGCTCAGTCAGTTAAGCTGCTGACTTGATTTCAGCTCAGGTCATGATCCTGTGGTGTGGTTTGTGAGTTCTAGCCCCTCTTGGATCCTCTCTCTCCCTCTCTCTCTGCCTCTCCCCCACTTGCATGCATGCTCTCTCCCTCTCCCTCTCTCTCCTCAAAAATAAACATTAAAAAAAAATAATGGGAGGGGCGCCTGGGTGGCGCAGTCGGTTAAGCGTCCGACTTCAGCCAGGTCACGATCTCGCGGTCCGTGAGTTCGAGCCCCACATCGGGCTCTGGGCTGATGGCTCAGAGCCTGGAGCCTGTTTCCGATTCTGTGTCTCCCTCTCTCTCTGCTCCTCCCCCGTTCATGCTCTGTCTCTCTCTGTCCCAAAAATAAATAAACGTTGAAAAAAAAAAATTAAAAAAAAAAAAAATAATAATGGGAGAGCATTACTCAGTTGTGAGCTCTTCAAATTTTAGCCCTTTTATAAATCAATGGAATTTACAGTGTTATCGTTGACAACCTCCAAAATTCTGTTTTAGTTTAGAAATATCCACAGCAAGATACTTGGCTAACTGTGGAGAACAAAATTACTAACAACAAAGCCGTTAAATGAACACACAAAGATAAATTATACAGCCTAGATTACATCCAATAAAATGAATTCAGACTTCCTTTGGTGAAGCAATTGGTTCAGTCAACATGCTTCTTTTCTCCTTTGTACTGTTTGTATTTAGTGTTTGTGGTTTAAATCAAGGAATTGATTTCCCCCCAAATCTTATTCAAGGTCAAATTAAACAGATGTGATAGGAGTTGAAGTTTGTTACTCTGAGGATAGATAAGATCAATAACATTGATTTTACCATTGCAGAGTAATCTGTTTTATTAAGAGGAGTTTAAAACAATGTTTTTATTTGCATTTTTGTTTCAAATGCCTGGCACGGAAAAGCATTCATTGAATTTAATCTAGCTTTTAGGGATAAAGGTAATAACATTTTCTTTCAAATTCACAGCATTTGCTTAATTTTTCAGAACTTTAATGGCAAAGTAAGTGCATTTAATTTAACAAATCTATACATGTATCCAGGTCATTGAATAAAGGCTGCAAGGGCAAAGCAAATTTTTAATGGATTATTGTGGTGGTTTGACATGGGCTACAGGATACCCTTCCTATTGAATGATTTAATGACATTAATCCATCAGGCTCTTTCACACGTAAGTTTATATGCATGTATATTAGTGCTTGGGAAAAACAGTTTGGAACTTGTGTAAGTGAGGAAAATATCAACAGCAATGTTTGCAAAGTGATTAACAGTAGAACAGGAACAGAGTGAGCTTACTCATAGCAGATTGGCATGATAGCCCTCAATCCTGTGCCCAGTTGCTCAGGTTATAACCCTGGGCAGGGAATATTTCTACCTCCATACTTGTCCCAGCAAGACCTGGAATCCTCAGGATTTGGCACTTCTGCCCCTACTGTTACTGCCAGATAATTTTAATATGCTGCACGTTAACTTTCTGGGTTAGATTCATCACAACTTTAGCGTTATTTCTATTAAAATATTGGTTTGGGGCTACCAATTAAGGATGCGGAACAGTTTCTCAATTTATTCAAGTCTTCCTGGCATATCTTTTCTAATATTTCAGAATATCAAATTACATAGTCAAATAAAGTATGGGGCAAAAATATCCTTAATGTCTGGAATCCTGGCCAGGTAAAAACAACTCCTAATAGGAATATTATTTATGCCCTGAAGTTTTTCATACATCAGGTACATTATTATCATTTCCTTAAAAAACACTAGGAAGGGTCTCAAATTTTTAAGAGAAAATAATAATTTCTAAGATTTATTGAGTGCCCACATGACTATTTTTTGCATTAAATCCTTTCAATAAACATTGAAAACTAAGGCCAGAATCAGTTAAGTAGCATGCTGAAGGTGACACATCACAGTTATGCACCTGGACAAGTATTTGGAAATTATGGACATTTTAATACCAATGCAAAATTGACTGGTTTTACTTTGCGTGTTTCATATGGCTAAGAAGATATGAATTCTAAAAGATTTATGCTAAGTCTCAACAGATAAAAGTGTTTTTTTCCCCTGAAAGGGATACGTTTTTAGAACTGACTTATTAATTTTCTCAAATTGATTAGCTCAGTTATGCCATGACACGTTTCTTCATTTTATATTTTGCACAAGGTAGGTATACTATGTCAACTCTCTAGTTCTTTGTCCTCTCTCTCTAGCAAATTGCTTGCCTGGTTATTATACTACTTGTAACCACAGTGAGAAACGGATGGTTTTTCTACTTATCATAACACTCATCCTATCCCAAGGCTCTCTCTTAGAAGTAAATGGCTTATTCATTTAACCATTAAAAGATGTAATAAGTTTGGCCTCAGTATTTTTGATATAGTATTTTCCAGGGGAAATGAAAGGCAGATCATAGAATGCTACAGCCCAATTAAACTAGATCGGCAGACTCCACAGCCTACGGGTACATGGGAGGTCATGGATCATCTGCACTGTTAGGACTTCATATACGGTCATTATCGATCAGCCAGGCCCAGAGCAAGCACTTCCCTCACTGCCTCACTAGCTTCATAAAAGGAGAAAGCGCTACTAGAAAAATGAAAGTAGATAGCACAGAGAAATACTTCTACGGAATTCATAGATCCCAGGCACAAGATTCCGGAGCCGTTAGAACTTTGTTAGTGGCTGACGTTCAAAACAAACAAATCTTACTCTTGAGGACAGGTGTGACAAGCATTAAAATGCTCCATTTCATGAAGCAAGTGAAGCCTGAGCCAATCCCCTGCATGGTTGACCACAGTATTTACTGCTGTCATTCTGAAGCCCTTACTTTTTTGGTCCCACTTGGCCCACATTGACCCGCACACAGATGACTTTTCTTGTCTGCATGCCCACGGAGCAAGAGGCCTCCCCATTCCAAGTTGTAGTTGTGTTGAAGGACGATACGGAAGTGTCCTCGATGCACTGGCCCCAGGGGCCAGTCTGCCAGTGGTACACAGTACAGGGATGCTCATTACAGCTGCGTACCTCTTGCAGAGCACTGCTATTTGGACAGTGAACTCCACCTATAAAAATAAACAAAGAGGATTAGATATGGTGCTAACAGGAAACTTACTGTTCTCTCTCTTTTGGAATTAACGATAACAATGATACCCGCCATTTATTAGCACATAGCATGTGACCAGCATGCTGCTAAGAAGGCAAATTACATATTAATCTTACGTCATTTGGCATCCTCCAGGTTAAAATTTAAGCTATACAGTATACATGGTATTTGCCTGTGGGGGGGGGGGGCACTATGGAGCACCTTAAAGAGAGAGGCCATTGTTCTCCAGAGAAGCTGAAAATGAGGTACAAATGGACCCTATAGATTGCTGGCCCAGGGAAATGTGGGCACTGAGACTCTGTGCATGGTGAAAACCCAATGTGTTCTCAAATGTTATATTCCAAATTGAAAATCTTAAATATGTGTTTTGAAGTATTGCTTCTTTTAATACATTAGGCATTTGGGCAATTAGAAACAGGTTTTTTTGTGTGTGTTTTTGTTTCTTTTTTTTTTTTTTTATCAGTTGATGCTGTCTGATCTTCTACAGCATTACTGGGAAAGCCATGTAGTAATGATAGTACCATATTTATTCAAATCTAAGATGTCACTGGCTGAGAGACATACCATCATTTTATTCCTCAAAGAAAGAGCAATGGCTACAAGTTAAACTATGATACATTGCTTTCTTTTCAGTCCTATTTTTTACTGATGCTTATTGAAATCCATTTGTATGATTTATTTACATTTAAAAAAATACATCACTTGATTGCATACATTAAAAGGGAAGACATTCCTCAATCTCATTTTCAGAGTCCAAATCTCTTGAGTCACTTTTTAACTCACACGAATCAAAGTTTGTTCTCCTATACAGAACCATCATCCTGTTTCCAAAGTGTTGATGATGTAGGATTTCTTTAAAAAGAGTACTTCCTGTTGTTTCCAGGTCTTTCTTCCCATCTCTAAGTTTTGATGCTGTTGCATTCTTAACTGCACCAGAAGTTGTCAACAAAAGATTTAAGCAAGCAACGAAGAATGGTTCTTTGCTGTTTTTATTTTTAGCAGACATATCATGGAATTGCTATTGTCACCAGGAATAACAACACAATTCACATGTACTAGCAATGACAACTATGTTATAACTTCTGTCTGGCTATAGTGGTTTTAAAACGCATCCATTGTAAGATGTAATAATTACAGAGATAATAAAAGGTAAAAGGGATACGTCTTTTAATCAATAGAATATGGTGTGAAGTTATCATTTTGGAACCATTTTTTATGTGCTAGCCTTGTTATAAGTACTCTATATGTGGGACATTATTTTATACCCCAAACTGCCTGACAAGTTAAAAATTATAAGGCGAATGAACTAATGCAACTTAAATGATGTAACAGTAACAGTTAAGAATTTATGGAGCTCAGTGTCTTACCACTATGCTATTTATAATGCCAATTATAAAAATAAAAAGCTTTGTATCGTTAAAAGCAGAGTCGGGGAGCAATTTATTGCTTACTTTATTGACAGTTTAATCAATTTGAACTTATGTAGCCTCTGAATTTTATTTTAGGGGCAGAAAATACCTGGTTGTTAAATAAGAAAAGGTGATTCAATAGCTAGTGATCCTAACAGGGAAGACAACTCCAAAATTTGAGATGTGGGTAAAAGTCATAAACAAAACCACACTCCGAGATGATCTTCAGTTATCACTTCACTTATAATTAAGGGCATCCCTCTAATTCAGCAAATAAATCGGTAGGCAGTTTATATGAGAATTTAACTGCAATTCAGAATCATTTATACAGTGGTGAACATGGGATCAACATCAGAATGAAGTAGCATTTCGTTAATGTCCCTGCTTCATGATGGTGAAAACATCTGTCACAGATCATAGCCTATCCTCCATCACACAGCTCAGTGACCCTGGCAGCCTCTGAAAAGAAGTTTAGGATTTGAATAGGAATGGATTCTAAAACATACTAATTGGATCGGGGAGAAGTAAATGAGCACTCTTATTACCCATTCCCTGAGGCTCTAGATTTATCCAATCTTCTCTCTCAGACAAACACATGCTATTTATAAACATTCATATGCACATTTTAGGCAACCATTTTAACCATACCTTAAATTTAATAGTGAAATTATTGATCTACAAAAAAAGTGTTTCTTTACTTACCTCATTTTTACTGTGAGTGTATGTATACTGTTTAAACTGTGATTCTAAAACTCCTCAGTTGTTTTTGACATTGGAATTGACTGGCTGGCTTTGGAACAAATAAGAAAAAAACTTCTACAACATCAGTGTAACGTGTTGAGGAACTGCAAGATGGTTGTTAAGTTTACAGACATAAAGGCTATTTATTTTCTTGCCCCAGTCCACATTAAAGCCACATCAGCAGCTTTGGACTGGTGTCAGGATACTCGCACAGATAAGCCCCAATGTATTCTTAATTAGAATGACGATACGGGAATTTTGAAAGCATGGCTTGGGGTAATCAGTCATTGCGGCATCCGTTCTGTTGTTTTGGGAATAATTTTACGGTAGAAAAATTGATAGATATAATATTGAATTTATTTATTATTTATGGGAAGATCTAATTCCAGACACGTGGGAATATTTCCATAGTACTGGGGAAATTATAAAATGTCACCCATGACAAAATTAGTGATAAATGGTATTCTTAAAAAAATCCTCTTATACATAAAAATATATGCTTCATACTAATGTGACTATTTAGGCTTTTTATCATTCTGGCAAGTGGACAGACTTTATATTACTCTGATGAAATTCTACTGTATAAAGAAATGTCCATGCTCATATAAAAACACCAACTACTATTTGCGAAACGTCTCTAACAAATGAAAAAGTAACTTTTCCTCCCCACATCAAGTCCCTAAAAGCTGTGTTAACATACATTTGAACAGAGCTATGGTGTTCCTGGGTTTCTGGCTCTGACATTGAAGTTCTTACAATTTAAATGGCTGAAAAGACTGAAAAGATAAAGGAACCGTGTTCGAAACATTAATACAAGCGTATTGAGTGTTATAGTAGGCAATGTTTATGTCCAGCGCTTCAAGAGATACCTAGCAGGGTTATAAATAGTTTTTGCTGCTCTCAAGGATCTTATAATGCAGTGGGGGAAAGTAGTAGGCATAGGCAAACACACAAATGGGTATAATTTTAGTCAGAATATAGTAATAATGTTAAAAGAGGTAGTATAATTGGGATTCAAAAGTATAGATTCCATTAGTTTTGGGGTGACTAAAAAATGCCTCAGGTAGAAGGCAATGAGATGAGTTTTGAAGGAGTGGGATTTTGACAAGCAGAGTTCTGGGAAGGGAGAGAAAAAAGGGAAAATTTTATTGAGGCAGAAGAAAAAATAAAAGGCAAGGCATACAGGCAGATATGATTTTGGGAATTTGCAATATTGATACCGTCCATTAGGGTGCAAAGTTCACACAGAGAAGGAACTGGCAGTCAGGATAAGGAAGTGGACCGGGTTCCTGCTAAGTGGCTATTAGTGTACTATGAATTATAGCTTTAAAGTGCTCATAGTTTTTACTGCTTATTGCAGCCCAAAAACCCTTTGACAGCCGACCACCTCTAAGTGAAAATCACATTGGCAGTGGCATGATTTCGGGGAACTGAAATGGAAGAATGTTAGCCAGAGAGAACCTCAGAAGATTCTGCTGTAGCACACCATCTCTACTCCTTTTCCCCTTTGTTTTTCCTTGCAGAAAGAGATAGAAGACTTCCCACCATGGAGTCTGCATAAATCTTGTTTGGTGGTTATGGAGGGACAGACCGACACAGCACTCCTGTTTCAAAGTCTAGAATGGGAGGGTGAGGAAGCGACAGCACTTTTACCTAGAAGGCAGAATTATGTGTGGATATACCTAGATAATGGATCCTGAGTTCTTCAGATTTGTCCAGGAATAAAAACGCTCCCTGGCCCTTAGGATTAAAAGCTTTTAACTGTGAAAACCCCAAGTTAAAATATAAACATTCCTCTACCCAATGTTTTGTACTTTAAAATACAATTTTTGAAGACTGCTAATTATTTGTGAAAAAAATTGGCACAACTCTATTTTAATTTGCATCTATTCTCTGTATGTTTAAAGCAGGTGTAAATACACACTAAAATTTGGCTGATGAAATTATCATATCAGGTCATTTTGAACTTTGCAAAAAAAAAAAAAGCTCATTTCTTGCTGTGTAAGGATAATTAACTATATAATGAGACTTAAGTTGTTATCATACTCAGTGGAAAACATTTTGGAAATCATGTTTTCTTTTAAGCTAAGTTTATTAAGAGATCTGCAACATGGGTTCAAAAAATTCGGAAGGCTACAAATCTAACATCAATTTTTAATTTATTATTCCAATTCAACATACTATTAGTTATATTAAAAATATGCCAGGATGAAGTGTTAAAACATTGCTTCCTTTTAGATCTTTCCACATCATTTTTTTTTCAGGGCTAAGAGCATCAGCACTTTTATCCCCTCACTGGGTGGCTAGGCCTGAGACACCAACGAATGACTCTATAAAACTCAGAGGAAACCAGGAGCTAGTGCAAGTCCAGGGAAAAGGGTCAAGGTCACATCGAATGGTCACTGCTATCAAAACAACCCTGGTTGTACACTTTGGCTACCACCTTGTGGTCAGCAAACCAGCGCATGTTGAGGGCCTGGATGGCCTTGTGAGCCAAAGAGGCAATGGAAAACTCCAGAAAAATCTTGGCATGATCTCTGCATCCTTTTCCTTGCATAATTTTAAAGAAGCTTTGGGACCCACCCAAATATACAGTTTATCCAATATAAGGAAGATTTTTACCTCAAGGTATCATACAAATCTAAGAAGAGAAATTCCAATTTTATTTAACCAGAAGTCAAGGCTTAGGAAGCTACACACACACACACACACGCACACTTATTTTTTTAAGTTGAAAAAAATATGTTTATTTTCTTCAGTATATTAACTACCTACCTCTAGTTGCTACCATTTGTATTTGCTTTCCAAATGACATTTGGATAAGAATCATTTTATGACAATTTTTGTGTATTGCCGATAATAGGTTACAAAGTGTTCCTCAAGACATGCACACACCATAAGAAGACGAAGTAAATCAAGGGTAAGACCAGGAGCTAGCACTCCTTTTTCTAGCACACAGGATTATATTCCCGGCCCACCCTGCCATGACTGAAATGAGGTTCAACTTCAAGCCGTGATTATATGATTTGCTTTGCCAATCAAATGGCAGTAGAAATGATATGTCACTTCTGGATGGAAGAATTTAATGCTGATGTTCTGAAAGCAGCAGAGAGACTCTTCAACTCTTCTTCCACTGGCATGGGGACGAACACGTAGGTCTTCATATGGAGGTTCAACACTCCAATGCAGACTGTCTTAGCAACTTACCCAGCACCACAGCAAAATTCCCATAAGGGAAAAATAATTTCTCTTTGAAGGTTTTGAGCTTCTCATCTGTTTGTTACTGCAACACAACTTGGGCTGCTCTAATTAATACAAGAGGTTGTGTAGTCTTCAGCATATAATGTTTAACAGTGAAGTTATGACTGAGGTAAATAAAAATGTATCTTTAATTTTGTGAAGCAGCATTTATTTTGTAAATCCAGATAAATACTTTGCACACAGATTTGTGTGTAAATCTGGATAGATACTTTGCACATGGATTTGCACAGAAGTTATTTCACTAGAAAACTATATGTCTAAGCATGCAATATATAATTCTAATAATGTGACTTTTCCCTTATTGTTATCATAGTAATTTTCTGATTTAGAAAGTGAAGAAAATTCATGACACTTACAAAACATTAATTCTTGGGGAATAACAGAAAGACCTACTTTTGTGTAAAATTATAAAGGGTTTCCTACTTAGCAGGGAAACACATTTTAAAACTTTGTGCAAACAAAGTTCTTAAATAATTTCAAAAATAGCTCAAAATTATGAGACTTTTTGTGAAAGAGAAAATATGTTTCAGTATCTAGCAAATAATCGGTACTAAATAGTTTTTGAAGGACAGATTCATTAAATACCTCATATAATTATACAAGTTTCTGTAGCTGTTATTAACAGAGACAAACATCAGCAGATTCCCTACTGACAGTTTCCTCTATGGTTTCCACGTAAAATTATGTTTTGAATTCATGCCTTTATGATTTACTCTATAAACATCTATAATTTTCCAGCACAGCTTGCTTATGACACAGCTACTAGACTTAATTAAAAATTATCGAAGTCTCACCCTTTCAAACTAAGAAGATGATACATACCAAAGAGCAATCATAAATTTCTGCCTTTAAAGCATTTCATGACCTTTCAGTGTGAAGCATCATGTCTATAGAAATAATGATCTGGTGAGTTCTGCAAGCATGGCAAAATCTCTGCCATGTGACTCACGGGGCAAAAAGTCACTCATTACTAGTCACACAGCAAGTGTCTGCAGAGTATAATAGATTTATAGGAAGCACAGTGACCACAGATCTAATTCTAATGAAGTCCAAGACATAATCTGAGCCGATAGAGTTTGAAGTCCGAATATAATCTATACAAGGTTAGAGTTATTGTTTGACAAGACAAGGAATATGACTTTCTAAAAGGTTCTATCTTTTTGTTTGGTTCCATGATACACTATTTTAGGGGGTTGCAAACAGTTAAATTTATATTAAGGTAACTGGAAAAGGTTTTTGGACACTTTAAAGACAATTATAAATTTTGCTACGGGTTGACTGTGTCAAACATGCTAAATTTTTCTCTCATGTCTTAAGACCAAGGTAGTTATATTTTTGCATAGCTATTATATTCACAGACAGCAAGTTTGGCCAAAGGAAAACACCGTCAGGTTTCCATCACGAAAATGTTTCACGAATACAAAAATAAAACTGGCAGCATAAAAATTCCTCCCCAATCTATTATTTGGGGATATACACACAGAGAAACACATGCATGCTACAAATAGAAATCATTATTTACATGTGCTAAATGGGAAAGAGGAGAAGACTCATTCAGCTTGATAATGTTTCAATAATATGTGCCTATATTCTTGAGACAGAACATGCCTTAATGTGATAGAACTTGATGACTTCTATGTTTTCCTTACTCCTATGATATTCTCAAGAATGGCAACATTAAGTATAACATATCACCCAGTCACACAGAGGCCGAATTAGCATTTGGATGTAAGCCTGAGAGACAATTACCAAGAGCCTTGTATTTCTCTACAATAAAGCTTATACAAGTCACGTATGAATTTATGACACAGCATGTTTTATTTCCCCAGTAGGATGAGGTGATTAAGGAGCAGCATATTTTAAAAATGAACACAATCAGGGGGACCTGGGTTGTTCAGTCAGTTAAGCGTCTGACTTTGCCTCAGGTCATGATCTCACGGTTTGTGAGTTCGAGCCCCGTGTCAGTCTGTGCTGACAGTTCAGAGCCTGGAGGCTGCCTGCTTCCATCCTGTCTCCCTCTCTCTCTCTGCCCCTCACCCACTTGTGCTTTCTCTCTTTCTCTCTCAAAAATAAAATAAACATTAAAAAAATTGTTTTTTAAATGAACGCGGTCTACATATATGAGACGTCTGGATCTTAGAACCTATGTTCAGTAACCTGAATGGCAGATAATACATGTAATTTTTAGTCAACCAATAGCTGTGCTAGTGTTTCTCTAAAAACAAACAAACATAAAAGCCAAATAATAAAAATCCCACCTTTACTATTGAACATATATGCCTATTTATGAGAAGGTAGAATGAGATTTCAAAAGCAAAAACTGACTACTGAAATAGAGAAAAATAATCAAACCTGACATCTGGAATTTGGGGAGCCTCTTTCAGACTTCTTCCCAGGTTTACCATTTAAACTGGAAAGCAATTATTAGGAGGGTAGAAAGGCAATGTGAGTTTACTTTTAAGAGTCTTTCTTCTTTTATTAAGGATCTATTTTCAAGATTAACTTTGGGGAATGGGAGTAAGTTGCTAAATATGTTAACAGATATTAAATTTCCTTGATTTCTGGGATTCTGGAAGTAGATCTCCGGAAGATTTTTGTAGAGCATCACCTCAACCAGGGAAGACAAAAAAAAGGGTGGGGGGGGGGGCACTCCAACTTTTGGAAGGAATCCAAATCCCTCGTGAAGCTGGTGGCCAACCTTACCTTCATCACCGGCATAGGCCAGAATAGATCGTGCTCGTATCTGTTTCCCTTCTGTGGTTTTCCCCGAGCAGGTGTGTGAGCAGGAGGACCACGCAGACCACATGCTGAGCACACAGTCCTTTGGGCATGGGGCATAACAGGCCACAGGGATGGGGAAGATGGCATCTCTACACAGCTGTCTGTCAACTTCTTCTCCTGGGGAAGACATCACCACGAACAATCTATCATTTTTTAAATAAATGTAAAATGAGCAATTGCAACCAGATGGGCACCAAGATAAATTAGGTTGTTTTGTTCTTAGTTAAAAACAAAGCTAAAACAAAGCGTACTACAGCCAGACGTTAAAAGAACACCAGGAGTAAATATATATCCTTCAGTGGAGCTTCTTTTATTATCAGAAGCTTAGGTGTGTCAATCAAGCACAGTGCTGAAAGTGTTTTTATACTACAGATACCAACCTGGTAAGTGATTTTTATATTTATAATATTAACCTTGCAATAAGGAGCATCAGTGAATTGTGTTCCCCTCTTTTTTTTTTTTTTTTTTTAATTTTTTTTTTCAACGTTTATTTATTTTTGGGACAGAGAGAGACAGAGCATGAACGGGGGAGGGGCAGAGAGAGAGGGAGACACAGAATCGGAAACAGGCTCCAGGCTCTGAGTTGTCAGCCCAGAGCCCGACACGGGGCTCGAACTCCTGGACCGCGAGATCGTGACCTGGCTGAAGTCGGACGCTTAACCGACTGCACCACCCAGGTGCCCCAGTGTTCCCCTCTTTATGGCATTGCTGGAAATGAGTCATCATTTACAGATAACAACTCTATCCATAACATGTACCATATGTTCTCACGAACCAACTCAGGTATCTCTATTTGCAAACTCTCTGTTTCACAGGGAATTTATTTTTGTATGATTGGCAACCTTTTTCTTTCATAAAAAAATATTTTGTTAGTTGGAAATAGCCAGGAAATGTGAATAATAGGATAACACTATAAGCCCACTACTTAAGGTGGGCCTGGTGGGAAAGGGGGAGAAACACAACAGAGTAAGCAAATGGCAGAAGATGGCCATCACTCCTGTGCTGAAAACTCTTCAGAAGTTTCTTGTTGCTCTTAAGATAGAGATGAGCAATTTAATACTTTATAAGACCTCAAATGACCTGGCTGTGGTTTCTCTTCCCAGCTTTATCTCACTCCACTCCCTCCCTTACCCTGGGAGCTCTACAGATTGGCACTCATTTAGTATTTGTTGAATGAATACAATGAGATATACAAAAGGCCAATGAGAAAAAAAAATGTTGTTGAGGTTAATAAATGCCAAAGATAACCAAAAGAATTACAAAAAATGACCAAAATAGAAGATGAAATGAACTCTATGGCTTAGTTGGTTAATGTCAGGTGCTAAAGACGTCAATGGAACAGAGTGAAACGAAACACAAACAACCAAAATTTTATCTATTATTTTGCCACAAAATATGACCATAATTCTAGATGACTCTCTCAGAACGTGTGCCTTGGGCCATTATGCTTTCAGGGGAGAAAGAGTGACTGATTGTGCTATTCTTCTTTGCTGTTAGAAAAACAACTCAGAGCTGTTTCTCACTAATGGAAGGTCAGGAGCATCGTGTTAATAGACAGCCTTTTATTCATATATTTGAAAAACAAGACAAAAAATCAAACATCGATTAGAAAGGCCCTAACATATTAATAGCTACTAGTTTGCAGGGCTTTAAATCATTAGACACAATCAGAAGTCAAGTGGAATGTTAACAGCCATTACTTTGCAAGGTTTTAAGTTATTAGATTTGCTCACTAGTAAGACTCACTGAAACGACAATTGGACTCATCATTATATTGTTCATTTTTCTTTAGTTACTATGATCTGTGTGATCTCTTTTAATTCTGCTTTTATTGGCTTTTGGGTTTGGCCTATCTCCCAGTAAAACACTATGAAGATAGACTGTAGATTTATAGGTACTGAAGGTTCAGTACAAAAATCATTATAGTACAAGCCATTTAATATTCTTCAATTTACATAATAATGATGACTCTTTTTCCTAGTAGACTTTTTTCTGAGTGCAAGAGGGGACTTGCATGTCTTATTTTCTTCATTGCCACTTTTAATGTTCCATCTACTCTCTTTTACTTTCATTTCTAGTATCCTGTGAAAAGTCAGGCAAATTTGGGGCTACAGCCTACAGTCAGCCAGGAATTACAGTTTTATTTCTTCTCTAATAGTTACTTAATGATTTCTACTCAGAAAAATTTAACTCATTCTGCAACAATTCAACTGTGCTACATGTGTGTTATAAGATTAATTTGCATTGGCATAAATGATATATTTCTCTTTCTCATAGCATAAACTTAAGGGATGCACAATTTGAACGCTTCTTACTTTACAAGTTATTCTTTTTTTTTCTTTTCTTTTTCTTTTTTTTTTTTTTTTTTTTTTTTTTTTTTTTTTTTTTTTTTTTTTTTTTTTTTTTACAACCTGTGTCCGATACCTTATGTTAGCTCATTTTCATTCACCTTGTTCTGCTTAGCCAGGTGTATTTCTGGCCAGGCACAATCCTTCTAGAGTATGTCTCTTTTTTGTTTGTTTATTTTTGAGAGTGAGAGAGGAGAGTGCTTGAGAGTGCACATGCTGACACAGGAGAGGGGAGGGGCAGAGAGAGAAGGGGACAGAGGATCTGAGAGCCTGATGCGGGACTCCAACTCACAAACCCTGAGACCATCACCTAAGCCAAAGCTGGATGCTCAAGTGACTCAGCCACCTAGACAACCCCCCTTTTAGAGTACATTTTAATCCTCTGCAAAGCTATTAAGACTCACCTTGGATCCAACCTCCAATATTTCCTTAGATTTCAGCCCTTTCTTCACTCTCCCCAGCTTTGCCAGGTAAGCCCCTGACCCTGATTGCTCCCAATCGCTTATCATTGTCTTGCATCCAAATAATTACATTATGTTCCAGCCATTATGGCTTTTTCCTCTCGTCTCCTACAGATCAATCTCATCACTGCCTCAGGGCCTTGGCATTGTCTCTTCATTTTGTATGAAAATTTCAGACTTCCTCAAAGATTACTTCTCAATATTCGGGTTTTAGTTCAGTTGTCTCCTTCCTAGAGGAGGCTTAATTGATCATACACAAACTCACAGTGACTTCATTTTACTTTTCTTACAGCTTTAATCACCATGGGAAACTTTTAATTAATTGTTTACAAGTTTATTTTCTGACCCTACCACTAGATTAAAAGCCCAATGAGGGAAGGATCTTTATCTGAGTTATTTTATACTCAGAAACTAAAACAGTGCCTAGTACAAAACAGGCACAAAATAATCTTCCCTTAAATGAACAAATGAATTAATTTTAACCTGTTGTTATCAGGAAACAGAATGCTGGACTAGAATAACATGGATTTAAGTAAAGTATTTCTTAACTTGCCAAACATTCAAGTGCTCCAGGACTTGGTTAAAGTGTATTCAGTGGGTAGGCAGCATATGCACCAGCTGCCGTTTGCTAGAGATGCAGTCTCTCAGACCCCATCCACTGAATCATTATTTGCATTTTCTAAAGATCCCCAGGTGATGTGCATGTACATAAAATCTGAGAAGCACTATTCTAGGATTTTTCTGCCTTACTCCTCTTGTGTTTTGAATAGCACCATACTGCCTCTTGAAAGGGGCAGCTACAAATTCATCTGGATTACATACCTAACATCAATTGTTTCTCTGTGGAACTTCCTTTTATACTTCTCTTCATATAAGGTGTACTTAGAGGAAAACATTCATTCCGTGAATACTTACTGATTGCCCATCTTTTGTCAAGCACTGTACTATGAATATTATATACATCATCTCAGCTAATTGTCACAATGAGCTTTTTGTGAGGTATAATTGACATATAATATTGTATTAGTTTCAGAAGCACAACATAATGCTTCAATATTTGTATATATTGTGAAATAATCACCACAATAAGTCTAATTAACATCTGTTTCCACATACAGTTACAATTTTCTCAAGAGATAAAGACTTTTAAAATCTACTTTCTTAGCAACTTTCACATATGCATTACTGAATTATCAACTATAGTCACCATGTTGTACATTACACCCCCATGATTCATTTATTATGTAACTGGATTTGGACCATTCACAACAACCTTCTTTTTTTATGCTTATTTTATTTTACTGAGAGAGAGAGAGGCAGAGAGAGAGGGAGACAGAATCCCACGCTGTCAGCTGAGAGCCCAACCCCACAAACTGTGAGATCATGACCTGAGCTGAAAATAAGTCAGATGCCTAACAGACTGAGCTGCCCAGTCATCCCTACAATGACCTTCTGATACTGATATTAACATCTAATTTTTACTTTAAAGGGAAAAAAAATGAAGATCAGAAAGTTTAAGCTTACTGTTTCAAAGAGCAGAAGTTTAACTAAAGAAGCAGAGATCTTAAATGTTTTCTAGTCAACTTCTACAGTTTTTTTAGAGAGAGTGCATGTGTGCATGTGAGCTGCAGGGGGTGGGGGTGTGGAAGGGGTGGAGAGGGAGAGGGAGAGGGGGGGAAGAGAGAGAGAGAGAGAGAGAGAGAGAGAGAGGTGGAGAGAGAATCCTAAGCAGGTTCCATGCACAGCGAAAAGTCCAACATGGGGCTTGATCCCACGACCCTAGGATCATGACCTGAACCTAAAACAAGAGCTCAGCTGACTAAGACACCCAGACACCGTGCCAATCAACTTTTTTAAGTGGCATGGTAATATGGAGAACTTGGGATGCCAAGAGAGTTACTAATGGATGAGTCTTTATCTACAAAGATGTCAAGAAACTGGCACCCTAAATTGTTTCTCAGGGCAAAGTGAAGCATAGGGGTGGCGGTATACTGTGTCAAATACAAAGAGTATGCATGTTGACATGTCCAAGGTTACCTATTTTGGTTTATAGCCATTGAAAAAATGGCAATGGATCTGTGAAAATATGAAATTATTTAGATCCTTGACTTTGGTTTTGACAGGTGCTTTAATCAACTCAATTAACTGACCACTAACTGGAACCCTTAGGAAGTGTGCTCTCTCTCTCTGTCTCTTTTAATGTTTGTTTATTTTTGAGAGAGAGAGAGAAAGTCAGAGAATAAGCAGGAGAGGCAGAGAGAGAGGGAGACACAGAATGTGAAGCAGGCTCCAGGCTCTGAGCTGTCAG